ATATCATCAACAAAGTCTAGGTCTTCTAAGCAGTTGCCTTCTGCCGATGTTTTGCAATGCTGATGATATTTCACTACTGAGTGATACCCATGAAAAGTTACAAAAAAGACAGGAAAATGGCATAAATAGCAGGCCAAGTTAGGCTCAGAATTAGTTACCACCTACCTGGGCAGCACAATATTAGCCCTCAAGAAGGAAGGGACCTCAGGGATAGAATAGGCAGCCATAACATTCATTAAATTCAGCAACATATGGAAATCAAAGATATACAGCACTAGAACAAAACTGTCTTTAAAAAAGGGGAAAAGGAGTATCCGGAGAACTACAGGCCAGTCAGCCTCACTTCAGTCCCTGGAAAAATCATGGAGAAGGTCCTCAAGGAATCAATTCTGAAGCACGTAGAGGAGAAGAAAGTGATCAGGAACAGTCAGCATGGATTCACCAAGGGCAAGTCATGGCTGACTAACCTAATTGCCTTCTATGAGGAGATAACTGGGTCTGTGGATGAGGGGAAAGCGGTGGATGTGTTATTCCTTAACTTTAGCAAAGCTTTTGATTCGGTCTCCCACCGTATTCTGGCCAGCAAGTTAAAGAAGTATGGGCTAGATGAATGGACTATAAGGTGGATAGAAAGCTGGCAAGATTGTCGGGTTCAACGGGTAGTCATCAATGGCTCCATGCCTAGTTGGCAGCCGGTATCAAGCGGAGTGCCCCAGGGGTCAGTCCTGGGGCCGGTTTTGTTCAATATCTTCATTAATGATCTGGAGGATGGTGTGGACTGCACCCTCAGCAAGTTTGCACATGACGCTTGTGACGGGTTGGATCACAGAAACCCCCTTGGGATCTGCCACTCGATGTGCCAAGACTACTTCTGCCACTTTTCCCTCTGTCAGCCTGGGAATCCAGCACCCTATCTTGCTGAGCCAGACACACCCGTCTGCTCCAACACAGACCCAGGGTCAGAACCAAATACCCAAAAGCTGCAGACTTAACTGAAAGCAGCTTACAGAAGTGTGCTTATCTTTAAGACTCAGATGTCCAACTCCCAATGAGGTCTAAACCCAAATAAATCCATTTTACCCTGTATAAAGCTTATGCAGGGTAAACTCATAAACTGTCTGCCCTCTATAACACTGATAGAGAGATATGAACAGCTGTTTGCCACCCCAGGTATTAATACATACTCTGAGTTAATTAATAAGTAAAAAGTGATTTTATTAAATACCGAAACTAGGATTTAAGTGGTTCGAAGTAGTAACAGACAGAACAAAGTAAGTCACCAAGCAAAATAAAATAAAACACGCAAATGTCTAATCAAACTGAAAACAGATAAGAACCTCACCAGTTCCAGAGTGCTCCCTTTTACAGACTAATCTCCTTTTAGCCTGGGTCCTGCAATCACTCACACCCCTGCAGTCACTGTCCTTTCTTCCAGTTTCTTTCTGGTATCCTGGGGGGTGGAGAGGCTCTCTTTAGCCAACTGAAGACAAAACGGAGGGGTCTCCCATGGGCTTAAATAAACTTTCTCTTGTGGGTGGAGACCCCCTCCCCTCTTCTATGCAAAGTCCAGCTCCATAATGGAGTTTTGGAGTCACCTGGGCAAGTCACATGCCCATGCATGACTGAATCCCTTACCAGCCAAGCCGCATTCCTGGGAAAGCCCAGATGTGGATTGGTGTCTCCAAATTCATTGTTGGCTTAAGTGTTTCCTGATAGGACTATTCTCAGTAAGTGCCCATTCTCAGCAAGCTGACCAACTGCTTCACTACAGCCTACTTATAATCAAACAAGTATGCAGCCAATATTCATAACTTCAAATACAAAAATGATACATGCATACAAATAGGATTAATAGATTCAGTAGATCACAATCTTTACAGAGATATGTTACATGGCATATGCAGTATAAAACACATTCTAGTTATGTTATATATATACATTCATACATAAAGCCTTATTGGAGGAGTGGTAGATATGCTGGAGGGTAGAGATAGGATACAGAGGGACCTAGATGAATTAGAGGACTGGGCCAAAATAAATCTGATGAGGTTCAACAAGGACAAGTGCAGAGTCCTGCACATAGGATGGAAGAATCCCATGTACTGCTACACTCTAGGGACCGAATGGCTAGGCAGCAGTTCTGTAGAAAAGGACCTAGGGGTTACAGTGGATGAGAAGCTGGATATGAGTCAACAGTGTGCCCTTGTTGCCAAGAAGGCTAATGGCATTTTGGGCTGTATAAGTAGGGGCATTGCCAGCAGATTGAGGGACATGATCATTCCCCTCCATTTGACATTGGTGAGGCCTCATCTGGAGTACTGTGTCCAGTTTTGGGCCCCACACTACAAGGAGAATGTGGAAAAATTGGAAAGAATCCAGCAGAAGGCAACAAAAATGATTAGGGGGCTGGAACACATGGCTTGTGAGGAGAGGCTGAGGGAACTGGGATTGTGCAGAAGAGAAGAATGGGGCTGGGGGCAGGATTTGATAGTTGCTTTCAACTACCTGAAAGGGGGTTCCAAAGAGGATGGATCTAGACTGTTCTCAGTGGTACCAGATGACAGAACAAGGAGTAATGGTCTCAAGTTGCAGTGGGGGAGGTTTAGATTGGATATTAGGAAAAACTTTGTCACAAAGAGGGTGATGGACTACTGGAATCGGTTACCAAGGGAGGTGGTGGAATCTCCTTCCTTAGAGGTTTTTAAGATCAGGCTTGACAAAGCGCTGGCTGGGATGATTTAGTTGGGGATTGGTCCTGCTTTGAGCAGGGGGTTGGACTAAATACCTCCTGAGGTCCCTTCCAACCCTGATATTCTATGATTCTATGGTTCTATGGTTACAATAGAAATACAAGTAAAATCACAGTCTAAATTCTAAACTTTATCAGACTAAGCAACAGTTGAATTAAGCAGTTTTTTTCTCACCCCACTGGATATTGCAGGTAGGTTACAGTTCTTAATATAGGAGCTGAGTTCCCTTCTCAGCCTGGGACCAATGTCCTCAGTTCAAAGTCTTCCCAGCATTCTTGTTGCCTTCAGCGTAGGTGGGAGAAGACAGAGATGGTCTCATGATTCCACTGCCCCTTCTTTTATACTCTCAGTTCATGTCCCAGGGAAGATACTGGTCCAGGCATGTCCTGGTGGGCTTTACTGAGTCACAGAGTTGAGCAATCCCCATTGTGTTGTGCTTGCATAACTGTCTCTTATCAGAGGGTAGCCATGTTAGTCTGTATCCATAAAAACAATGAGGAGTCCGGTGACACCTTAAAGACTAACCAATTTATTTGGGCATAAGCTTTCATGGGTAAAGAAGAAGTAAAGAAGTGGGTTTTTTACCCATGAAAGCTTATGCCCAAATAAATCTGTTAGTCTTTAGGTGACACCGAACTGTCTCTTACAGAATTATAAATCTTTTGTTTACAATTCCCCTGCTGGACAATGACTAGTCATGGTCAGTTAAAGCCCGTTTGGGTGTGCCTCTCCCACTTTGTTGTCATTGGAGAGTTAGCAGTGGGCATCTCCCAGATTCATAACATATTTCAATAACACCATATAGCAAAATCTCATAATTTCATACACAGTAACGACATACATATTTTGAAAGAACAATGAGTGTCAGCAGATCATGACCCTTCATATGGTATCTTATGTGGCGTGCTTTGTATGAAATATCAGAACCATATACAAATAATGAATATGGAGGTTACAGCTTGCTACTTTGAGATACAGTGCATCACACCATTCCAACCCATCATATTATAATTTCATACATAACCATCTTTTGACTGGGTGAGTTGGTCAATTGCTAGCTGGTTTGATTTTCTGCAGAAAAGGTAGATTTCTGAAAGGACAAAACATAGAGGATGAATAATCAGAACCAGAGCCCATTTGAAACCAACATTTTTTCAGACTCACAGTTTTCAGCTTTTTGAAAATATTCTGAAAAATATTTTTTTTAAAGTTTTGAAAATTCACGTAGGTTAAAAAATACTCATCACCCACTTCTCCTAAATAGATCCCTAGGTTTGTTTAATTTGAGACATTGAGAACATTGTCCTAAGTTTGCAACAATGAATGGAAAATCTAATAAGCACAGACTAGAAAGTTCTTCTGGTTACATCCCAAAGAACCTAACAAGTGTTTAGAAATTGTTTGAAAATTATTTTTATAAAATGGAAGAGGATAATAGAAAAATTCTATGTTTTATTACCACTTAATACTCAACAGTTCCTGGTCAGGCCAGTTGTTTTTTTAGTTCATTTGTTGTATTGTCATAAGGGTAATGACACACAGAGGCTAAATAGTCTGATAAAGTGCTCATTGAGGTTAATGGGAACCTTTCCCTTGATTTCAGTAAGGGTTGGACTTGTTCCTCAAATCTGCTTTGAAAACCCTGAAACTCAAGTGAGGGTTAATGCCAACAACGCTATGAAGATATACAAAGGGATTTTGAAAGCAACTTAGAAACAGGAGGAACCAAACCTCAGTAACTTTCCATATGATTTGGAGGCCTAACTGCGCAGCCCCACTTTGGAACATTTCTCCCATTCAGACTAATGTTATGCACTTTTCCCCCTCTTCCTGTTTTGCAGTCGGAGAACACTTGGCAGCCAGTGTTAGAGAGACTGAAATAATATTGACAGTCAAAATAAATAGAGTGTTAATTTCCTATCATGTACTTGACTGGGCTTTGCATTTTCACAAAGATGGCTGGAGCCTAGGATGGAATTTTATAAAATATATTTCGGGGTAGATCATCGTCTTATTCAAATTGCATCTCTCCATTGAAATCAATATACCTGTGACAATTGAAACCAGTTTAGGGTATGTCAGTTTTCATCTAAATAAATAAAACTGAATAAGAGATAAAACTCTAAAATAGCCTCAGTATCCTTTTCCTATGACTCAGGATGCTTAGAGTGATAAGAACTTGGACCATGTATATGGTTCTATTCTGACTAGCGAGTTGATTTATTCCCATTTCAATCAATTTCTCTGGATTCATGGGAAAACCCTACATTTCTGCAGAGCTCTCCTCATGGCCTCCTTGACCTCTTTGTTTCTCAGGCTGTAGACGAGGGGATTGATCAAGGGTGTCAAGATAGTGTAGAAAAATGAAAACACTTTGTTTGGGGCTGTGAGTTCATTGCTGTTTGGTAACATGTAGACAGTTATTAGGGTCCCATAGAAAATTGTAACCACAATTAGGTGGGAGGAGCAAGTGGAAAATGCCTTTTGCTTCCCAGTGGTGGAAGGGATTCTCAAGATGGTGGAGATGATAAAAACATAAGATGCCAGAGTCAAAAGAAATGGGAGAACAACATTTATGGAAGAGAGTATAAGGGTCGCCATGGTCACCAGATTTGTGTTACTGCAGGAGAGGTTAATCACTGGGGTGAGATCACAAAAGAAGTGATCGATTTCATTAGGGCCACAGAAGGCTAATTGTGACATACAAGATACTAATATGGAAAGAGATATGAATGAACTTAGCCATGATCCAGCTGCTAACTGCATACAGAGCCTGCCATCCATATGTGTTGTATAGTGCAGGGGTTTACATATAGCTAAGTACCGATCATAAGACATCACAGCTAACATATAACATTCAGCAGTCGCTAGGAAACCAAACCAAAAAAATTGAACCATGCAGCCTGTAATAGAAATGGTTCTGTCCCCGGTCATGAAGCTGGCCAGCATCCTGGGCAGGATGGTAGAGGAGTAGCAGATTTCCAAACAGGACAAATTTCCCAGGAAGAAGTACATGGGGGTGTGAAGGCACTGATCAGTCACAGCCAGTGCAGCAATGAGGATGTTCACAGCCATGGTGACTACGTAGATCGCTAGAAACAGCAAGAAGAAAATAATTTGCAGTTCAGGGAGGTTCCCAAATCCCAGCAGGATGAATTCTGTGATGGATGTTTGATTTCCTCTTCTCCTTTCTCCGTGAGGTGTACTTCGGTTTCCTCCTTCTCCTCTCTCCATCTGAGGCATCTAGTGACAAAGAAAAAGTAATAATTATTTAGGGAAGTTACTGTACAATTAAACTGGGTTGTTTCCATCCATTAAATACCATAAAAAATTGCATTGCAAACTGAGATCAGGGTTTGTATTCTTTCACACTCAGGCTTTGCACAGGGTTTTGGAACAGAGAGTCACCATGCACCTATCCAAAAAAAAAAAAAGCAACAACATGGATAATTTATCACTTTCAACCCTGCCCCCCTTTCCATTATTTATTGATAAGTAGATTTAAAGTCCTAAAAGGGCCATTCAATCATCTAGTCTCACATCCTGTATAACACACACCATACATTAGCCCCAGTTTCCCCAATGTTAAACTCAATACCTTGTGTTTGGCTAAAAGAGATCTTCTAGAAGAGCATCCAGGGCCAGATTTTTAAAGGTATTTAGGTATCTATGGATCTAGTGGATAAAGGTATCTCGTGGATTTTAAAAACATCTAGGCTCCTAAAGGGCAATAACTTCAATGGTTGTTAGGCACCTCCATGCCTTTAAAAATCTAAATCTCTGTCTTCATTAGAAGACATCAAGAGACAGAGAATCAATTACTGCCCTTGGTAGTTTTTCTCAAAGATTAATCACCCTCACTTTTAAAAATATGTGTTTACTTCTCATTTAAATTGGTCTGACTTTAATTTCCAACTATTGGTTTGTGTCCTTCCTTTGTCCATTAGATTAAAGAGCCCTGCTATTTTCTCCATGTGAAGGTTCTTATAAATTGTACTCAAATCAGCTCTCAGTCTTGTTTTTAATAACCTAATCAGATTGGGCTCTTTCAGACTGGTTTAGTGAGATGTCTATGATGCAATTAATGAAAAAAAATGTCCCATAGAAAAACTTGGAAACGTATGAAGATGTCTGGTCACACGTGAAACTATTGCGTGCTTTTGCAGTTTAGTATATATTAGTCTCCGATACACATAGAGAGAGGGATGCATAAGGAGATGGGTGGATAAATCCGGATGGCAAGAGTGAAGTATGGCTCACAGAGATATATACGTGTTTAAGGTGATAGATAGATCGATAGATAGAGTGTATGGGGACAGGCCCTCTCAGAGGTCCAGAGAGGCCTGGGCCACATCCCCTAGTCATAATAAAAATTAAAAAATGATGACAGAGGAAAACAAAATAAGGCACCAAAAAAGGGGGAGACATAAATTTGAATATTTTTTTATGTAACAAATGCATTTCTAGCCTTTTTCTGTGCAGATGCACTAATTATTGAGGAAAAAATCTAGCTTTCGTGCAATGTCATAGTTGATATTAAGCATGATGAGCCCATTCAAATGCTCTTGTCCCATACTTGAACGGTAAAAGTTCTTTACCTGCTTCAAAACAATGCAAGTGCATTCACCTGAAGCCACTGATGCACGCAAATTGACAAAAATACACAATGCAATTGTGATATTAGGAAACACCCCAGAGAGTCCAAGTTCAAGTATTTCTTGAAGCAATTCCTTTGGCTTGCAATCCAATTTAAAGCTTGTGGAATATATTCGTTTGAGGAAGATGACCTCGTCACTGAGATCTTTTGAGATTTCTTCATTGTACTGTTGCTGAAATTGTTCAGCTGCAGAAAGTAGATCTTCATTACTCAATCTGTTAAACTGGCAAAGAAACCCCCAAATTAGTCACAGTGAGTCAAATCGGTGCGTATAGGGTGACCAGACTGCAAGTGTGAAAAATCAGGCTGGGGATAGGGGGTAATAGTTGCCTATAGAAGAAAATGACCCAAATATCGGGACTGTCCCTATAAAATAGGGACATCTGGTCATCTAAAACACTTAAGACCTGATTGAATAGAATCAATGATGACAAGGAAGACATTGATCCTATAATGCTGCTGGGCTTCAGATTCAGTAGGTAAGTTGCCATTGGTGGACAACTCAGATGAAATGCCAATATTCTGTGCTACTAAATTGGACTCAGTCAGGTTCACATCTCATTGTTCACAAATCTGTTGAATGTCATTGATAAGACTTTCAGTGCTATCCCTTTCAACCTCAAGTGTAGCATTGCATGCTTCAATTACCAAATTAGTTTTGTGGATCATTGTAAGTAGCTTCATCCACAAAAAATGATATCTGAATGCATTCAAATTTAGACATGTGCTTCTGAATAGACTGAAGTTCAGTTCGAGCCTGTGCAGTGAGATTGAGAGATTCAAGCTCATTTAAAGACTTTCTCACTGAATTCAAATGCTGCGCAACTGATTGAACACCATCAATCTGTGCAGACCATCTAGTTTTGGACATCCCATGCAGTGGAACAGGAAGATATTGCTTCATAATTTCCCACCTTTGTGGACTGCTACTGAAGAGATTGCCAAAGTAAGTAATTGCCTCCTTGCATGATTTAGCACAATCATTATGTGGTTTAGTGTGTGGTTTAGTATGTGGTTTCCACAGCTGGAGAAAATACAGTTTTAATTATGCTAAAGCAGAACTGCTTGTACACCTTTGTACTTCCCAGCCATATTAGTTCCATTGTCATAGGCCTGACCAATGCAGACTTGAAAATCTAACTTAAAACCTTCTAGAATTGCTAGTACTTGAGCAGCAATTTCTTTTCCAGTTTTTCTTGTGAAATTATCAAACAAAATAAACCTTTCTTCAATTGAAATTTTTGAGCTGTCTACAATTAATATATCGAATAACCATAGTAGTCTCTTCCTTGTAAGAGCAATCTGGAGTGGCATCAACAATGATTGAAAAATACTTGGCATTTCGAGTCTGATCAAGAATTGTTGTTTGTATGAATGACCTATATACCTCAATAAACTCGTTTTGTATGCGTGTGGAGAGATAATGAACTTGCATGTACTTTTGACTTTTTTGTGATTCTCGGACAGGTTTAATGTGCTCTGATAAAAATGGGTCATATTTGCTGAGGAGCTCAACTATGCCTAGAAAGTTTCCATTTGCACGATCACCAATATGTTGACTAGAACCAAAGAAAGCCAATCCCCACTCAGAAAGAAAAAGGATGACATTCAGGATGCGCTCAAGAAGTTTTTTCCAGTTATTAGTTTCTGAGGAGAGTTCAGTGAACTGAATTTTCAGCTGATGCTGCCCTATTGTCTGATTTACATGCAACCTGGTGTTCTTTGCGTGATGTTGAACTCTCATGTGATGGTAATAAGTCTTTCAACTTCCTCCAACCTCTGTTGATGCTCCATCCTGATTGATCAGAGAGAACTGATGCATTTGCCACACTTTTTTTCAAAATGAAACAGGGTGCACAGTACAGAGATTGTTTTTCTGTACTCCAGCATAACCAGTCTCTTGTGCAGGTCTCACCATTTGGAAGAGTTTTTGTCAGCAGATGAGTAGGGAAAGCATGATTATCAGCATCTTGTGGAATGTTACTTGGAATTTCAAATTTGAAGAAAAGATTGCATTTGGGCAGCATTGCTCTTGTCAATAATTCCAATGTCAGTCACAGTCAAACCTGTAGTACTGATGAATTTCTCTTGCTGCATAAGATCTACATATTCCTGTTGCTGTTGAGTTTCTTGATCGTAAACAGGATCTTCTGCTACATCTGTTACTGTTGGCACATCCCCTTCTTGACTACTGTCCTCATGTTCAGCTCTTGGCATTGAAATATCACCTGTTTCAGTTGAGGAGTTTTCATTATCTGTAGCATTGTTTGTAGAATAAGGTGTGTTTTCCAGTGGTTTGAGAAATGAAGTTGTTGGCTTTGAGCTCTTAGCTGCTGCTTCGCTCAGTTGTTTTCTCCATCTCTTGCTTGCACCACTTTCAAATCTCCCCTTCACAGTGATCATTCTGGTCAATATGTCGCCTATCCACACTTGAAATATTCTGCTGTAAATAAGTAGCTTATCTACACTTGAAATCTTCTAATGTAAACATGTACACAAATGCTGAATGGTACACAGATGCTGAAAAGACTTAAAACAAAGGAATACTAATTAAGAACACAAAATGAAACAGTCAGACAGGTTATTATCCTTATCACTGAATCAAAACTCAAGCACACAAGGTATAATATAACAGGCTGAGCTGAAGACAAAGGGATGACATATATATATAGATATAAATATAGATATAGATATATAGATATATATAGATAGATATAAAACACGCACACAGATACAGGCAGAGGGATAATGTCCATACATTTCAAAGGTGTGTCCTCATGAAACTCACTGTACAAGATTGTCCTCACAAATTTTCACCTTGAATCTGGTCCTATAGACTACAAAAGCCTATGATGATGGCCAAGCTACCAACCTAGGGCTCAACCAACCAACCAGTCACCTCTTTTAGCTACCATATGAAGATAATAATGAGGAATTCTCACACATAAATAATTCCTTAGTCAACTAGACGTAAAACTATAAAGACACTAAAATGCAACAGTTCTCTATCTTTCAACATGCACTTGATACAGCACCAGCCACTAGTAGCGGATTCTTTATATAATCATAGCATCATAGAATATCAGGGTTGGAAGGGACCTCAGGAGGTCATCTAGTCCAACCCCTGCTCAAAGCAGGACCAATCCCCAACTGAATCATTCCAGCCAGGGCTTTGTCAAGCCGGGCCTTAAAAACCTCTAAGGAAGGAGATTCCACCACCTCCCTTGGTAACCCATTCCAGTACTTCACCACCCTCTTTGTGACAAAGTTTTTCTTAATATCCAACCTAAACCTCCCCCACTGCAACTTGAGACCATTACTCCATTGTTCAGTCATTTGGTAGAACAGAGAATGGTCTAGCTGCATCCTCTTTGGAACCCCCTTTCAGGTAGTTGAAAGCAGCTATCAAATCCCCCCCCCCCCGCCCCGCTGCCCCATTCTTCTCTTCTGTAGACTAAATAATCTCAGTTCCCTCAGACTCTCCTCATAAGTCATGTGCTTCAGCCCCCTAATAATTTTTGTTGGCCTTTGCTGGACTCTTTCCAATTTTTCCACATCCTTCTTGTAGTGTGTGGGTCCCAAAATT